TATATATAACATACATTATTAGTACGTCCACGTTGATGATTATATCTTTCTCTCCGTTTACGCTCCTCGTCGTCTTCTAGGCGCATTAACTCTTCGAAACCGTCGTGATCCCATCTACCATTTGGCGAAGAACTACCCCAGCCTCCTTTTCCACTAATAGAAAATTAAATAAAAATATAATAATAGGCAACAAATAATAATAATAAAAATAATATGTTTATGGTTATTGCTCTTGTTTCAAGCTATCATGTAACATTAATTGTATCATTCGTTAAAATGAGACTACACTGTAGCAATTAAATAATAACAATAATGATAAAAACTAGCTTACTGCTGAGAGAACGGAAGTGGCGGTTTCTTACGCCGCTTATCAAAATCATTTCTTAGTCCATCATCCATATATCGATCATCATGTCCCCAAAACTCACCAAGGTGTGGAACAAAAGCTGGATCCTCGACCAATTTTTTACGGTATTCCTGCCTAGCTAATACTTTTTTCTGCCAAGCAGTCAAGGGTTTTTGGTTTTGTTCCTGATGTTCTTGGATTTTTCCTGTGTTAGTGGTATTATCATCTGCTGTTCCTGCTACTTCTGTTAATTTTTCTTTTTCACCATCAGACTGAGTTTTCGGTTGATCGGTGTCTGATGATGATATTGATGATGAAGTGGTGCTTCTTTGAATGCTAGGTCTCTTTTCAACTTTTGGATGCACATAGATTTTCTGTTCGTCTGCTGAGTTATTGCCAGACAAGTCCTGCTCATTTTCTTTATGAATTCGTTGAGTGTTTTCTTTCGTGTATGCTAATTCAGAATCATTGGTTTTCGGCGGCAATTCTGGACTCTCCTTTGCATTTGTGCTCTCCTCTTTCACAGTCACAGTTTCATTTTTATTAACTATTTCATTATCAGCCGAAGACACGTGATTGTTCCTAATTTCACGTTCATCGCTCGACAACCCTTTAGTACTACTCTCTTCCACATTAGTATTACCATTATTAACAATGATTTTTTCTTCCTTCTTTTCCAAATTCGAACTACTCTCACCACTGTTAGTTTCATCCAACACCGCCACATTAGTATTTTCGCCTTCTTCAGCTTCACTTTGACTCAACTCTTCACTCTCGTCATTCTCGGAGTCCAAACTTCCTTCTTCAGACTCGGATAAATCGCTCAATTCGACACCCTTGGTCAATGCGGTGTCTTCTTCGTCTTCACTATAGACGTCTTTCAATAAATTTCTTCGACATCTAATGCGTCGTGGGGTTATTTTTGACATTATAGGGAAAGGTTGTGTTGGTTAGCGTGTGAATGGATTCTGTTTTAATGTTTCGTTCCTGGTTTCACTTACCCTTTCTCAATCTTATTATCAGATTTTGGTGGTCACGTTTCTGTTATATAAGACCAATGAAATACACTTGTTGGCATACAAACATCGTGGTTTTTCCTTTTGTTCAGAGACTGAACTCCGGAGAATCATCGTCTAATTCATCGAAAAAACACGTGATTCAAAATAATGCAACGTTTACAAACTGTAATTAGTAAAAAACTCATTATTTTTAATTGTCATTGTATATTCCGTTTTTTAGTTCTAGAAATTACTGAATTAGAATTAAGTATAAAAAAATAAGAAATTGATTTTTAATTTTGAAAGAAAAATATTATCATTTAATTTATCAAGATTAAACAAATTTTTTTATTTTGTTCAAATAAAAATAAATAAATATAATAACTTTCATAATTATGAAATCAGTAGTCAATTTTATAAAAGTTCTTTATAATTTTATAATATTATTTTAATTAGATAAATATTTTAAGAAAGATATTAAAAATTTCTGATAATATAGTTAAAAATATAATGAAAACTTAAATTTTTATTAATTATAATTAATAAAATGCAGAGTTTTTACTACATATAAAAGTTTTTGATTTTACTAACAAAAATTTTTTATTTTTAGCTTTAAATAATAGCTAGATTTTTTAGTTTAACATATATTTTTTCAGATTTTTAGTCATTAACTTGTTCTAATTATATATAGAGATAATTAATTTTTATTAATTAATAATTAGTAAAAATTAATTATAATTAGAATAAGTCATTAATAAAAAATCTGAATTTATTCTTTTAAGTTAAAAATAAAAACTTTTTATTAATAAATTAAAAATTTTTATATATAATAAAAAATCTGTTTTTTATTAATTATAATTAGTAAAAATTCAAGTATTATATTAATTACTATATATATTAAATTAATTTTATAATAATTTTAAAAATAAATAGTAAAATATATATAATATAATCAGCTAAAATAAGATCTAATAAAAATTTAATAAAAGAAAAATATATAATAAATATTAATTTAATTTAAAATAACATAATCTATATCAGAAAAAATCTTGAAAAATCATGTGATTTCAAGATTCTATTTTAATTATATACTTATTTTTTATTTTTTATTGATTATAAATTATAAATATATAATCTTAATTATATAATTATTATTTTTATTATACTTTTTTCATGTAATTATTGCTTTTTTTATTTTTCTTATGAAATTATGATTTTTTTCATATAATATTTATATTTTTTTAAAGTTTTTCATAATAATAAAACTTAAAAAAACTATTTTTTATTAAAAATAAAGATCAAATATTATATATAAAATATAAATTATAATAAATAAAAACTATTCAAGATAATAATTTTTTTATTATATTTTTTTAAGTATTAATATATAACTATTCTTATATTAAAATTCAAAATAATAAATATAAATAAAAAAGAAATCTCTAAATAAGTATTTATAAATAATAATAATAAAATATATATATTATAATTCTAAAAAAATTTTCTATTTATAATATAAAATCTATTCTTAATATAGAATTTATTTTTAATTTAGTATTTTTTAATAATATAAATAAAAATTTATTAATAAATTTTATCTTTTTTATGATATTATAATATTTTATTATCATAAAAAAATATCTAAATCAAGTTATTAAGTCTATTAAAACTCTAAAAATAATAAGATTAACTATTTAAAAGAATATAATAAATTATTTTAATTTTTATTTATCTTATTTATTTATAAATATATAAAATTTCTATATCAATTTTTTATATTATAAAAAGAAATTAAAAATCTTATAAAAAATTATATCAAGCAAGAAAAATTTAATATTATTTAAAAAAGATTATAATTATATTTAAAAGATTATATTAAATATCTTAATTATAAATATAAATTTAATAATTATTAATAAAAAAAGTTAATATTTATAATTATTATAACTATAAATTAAAATATTAAGAATATAAATAATATATTAATATTAATTTCTTAAGAAATATCTTAATTATAATTCTTATAACTTTTATTAATATATATAACTATTTATTATATTTTAATACTAAAAATAAAAATCTTTTAATTAGTATTTAAAAAAAGTTATTAAAAATAAAATTTTTAACTAAATCTATTCTTAATTATAATTTTTTAAATATTATTTAAAAATTTAAAAATTATACTAATAAAAAGTTAAATATATCTTATCTATTAATAATATATAATAATTCTCTTTATAATATATCTTTTTTATAATAAAAACTAATTAAATTTGTGATATAGTAAATAATATTCAAAACTATCTTTAATAAAATTTATTCAATATAATATATTTACTAATAAATTCTTGATATAATAAATTTTTAAAAATTTTTTACTATTAAATTTTTTTAATTTATTATAAAGAAAGTTATTATATATTTCTTAAATATAAATTATATAAGTATTAATAGATTATTAAATTTAAACTAGATAATAAAAATTAATTTATTTAGATATTTTAAATATTATTAAAGCAAA